GCTAAGTGTGAGATGTTTCAGACTTCCAAGTTGTTTTGACTTGTATTTTATTAGTAATCTGGTACAGTCTTTCATGTAGTTGTCACTGGTTTGTAATTCTTTTGAGAACTGTTTGTTCGTATCCTTTGACCATTTATCCATGGGGGAATGGCTCTTGATTTTATTTATTTGTATCTTGATAAATTGGCTGCTTTTACACAGTGGTCTTAGTTTTCCTATAGCTGTTTGATTATTGTTCAGTTTCTTTCTATATTATTATCCCTCTCTTGCTTCTTTGTGTGGATATGCCTCAGGATTCTTTCCTGGGCACCCCCCCCCGCCCTTTCCTCTTAATGATCTCATCAACTCCCATGGGTTCAGATCTCATCACCAAATAGGATAGTGACTGGACTTGTCATTTCAGTGGTAGAAGGAGCCACCTGGATAAGGAAAGCATCTTCTACCAAGGTGGCCAATGCTTCTCTGTAGCTTACAGCCCTAGAGAGTTGCCTAGAACAAAGGGAAGTCAAGTGGTTTACCTCAAGGACATAGCCACTATGTGTGTGTCTGGTTCTGAGGCTGATGTTGTGTTCACTGTGCCAGGATGGCTATGTCAAGGGTGGTCAGTAGTGTCAGATGCTGCAAGAAGGAAGGGGATTAAGAAAAGGCCATTAGATCTGGCAATGAGATCATCACTTACTTTGGAGAAAATGTAGTTTGTGAAGTTGGAAGCCAGATTGTAATGGATTGTGTGAGAAGTGACCTAAGGAAGAGAAAGCCGAAGCAACAAACATAAACAGTTCCTAAGAATTGAAGGGTAGCAGGGAGGAGAGCGAGTGAGAGTGAATGGCAGCTGGAGGGGATGGTAGTTCCTTCCCTATCTCTTTGAAGGTGCTGAGATAATCCTAACAGTCACTAGCATTTCTACGTAGATTTAAGGTTTGTAAAACACTTACAAATATCATATCATTTGATACTCCTGATGACCCTGATGGTAGGTGCTATATTATCCCTGTTTTATAGATGTGGAAATTGAGGCAGACAGAGGTTAATAAGCTTCTCCAGAGTCACACTGCAAGGCAGTGCTAGAGGGTGTATTTGACTTTAGGGCCCGAGCTATATCTACTGTACTGCTATATTTCCCTAATAATTATTCAGATTAGTCTTTGCTTAGGTTCAACCATTTTTCACTCTCTCTCATTGTCCTCAAACCCCCATATGTAGTGACTTGCCAAGTTGTGTTGATTACACCTCTGTAGCATTCTTCCTTCTCTCTCCCTCACAAAGCCAGCACCCCTGTTCAGTCTCTAATCACTCTTGCGTGGACTGGTACCTGTCACTGGTCTTCCTGCCTCCTTTCACACTCTCTCTCTGTCTCTCTCTGTCTCTCTCTGTCTCTCTCTCTCTCTCTCTCTCTCTCTCTCTCTCTCTCTCTCTCTCTCTCTCTCCCCCTCTCTCCCCCTCTCTCCCCCTCTCTCCCCTCTCCCTCCCCTCTCCCTCTCCCTCCCACTCCCACTGCTTCTCGGTGTTTGCTCTCAGCCCTCCAGCCTTTTGCACCGGCTGCCTCTCTCATACCTGGAAGGCTTTCCCACCTGATTTTCTTCAGTGCCTGGCTCAAGAGTCCTAGTGGCTGGGTTCTTTTTCTGATGTCCCCAGTCGTTCCAGTGCCATCCTTCCACTTGCCCCTCCCCTCCATTACCTCGCATGTTTTCTGTAAACATTCTCTGCACGTGTTCACACAGAACAGCAGAAGCTCCTTGACTGTGTGGTTTGTGTGGCCCCAGTCATAGACCTTGGAAGAAATACTTGTTTGATTGAAGGAAAAAAACATATACAGTCTCTTCCACATCTCCCTTGTCATCTACTTGAGCAATAAAAGCAGTTCAAACTTTATGGAGAGTTAGCATAGGAATCTGTAACCTTTTTTCTTTTGGCTACTTGTTCATTTTTTAATCCCACTTAGTTTTCTCTAATCAAATACAAATATTTTAAGCCATTTATTTTCACCATTCCGGGGTGCTATTGCCTTGACTGTAATTGCCTAGCTTCTTCCTTGGCTGATCTATTGCAAGTCTTTATCTGGGTGTTATTACAGAATATAAATGCTCCACAGAGCATCATAGTTGTAGCCAGAATATTTTCAGATCCTCAGCAAACAGGAAAAAGCTGGAGGTTGAACGATTAAAATAAGTTGCTCAGCTTTGTTGTCAGTGTGTGAGCAGCTTTGCATTCATTATGCTTCTGGTTCCTGAGATGGGATATGTGAAAAATAATTCTTGCTGTTTATAGATGGTGGTCCTTGGGCACCAGACAGTGGATGTTGGAATGTACTGCAGAGATGCTGATTAAAAACTAGAGGGCAGAAGACAATGAACAAAGAACATTTTAACACCTATGCATGCTCTGTGAAAGCTTAGAGTTTGGGGCTTGCTTTTTTAAAAACAACAGCCACATACATGGACAATGCTTCTTGACTAGGCTGACACGTTATGATGGATGCTTTGGATGGAGCTTCTAGATAAATTGTGCGAATCAGGGGACCCAGTATCCTAGATGATGCCAGGATCTATAAGTTATGCACCCTGATTCCCTCCCATTCACTCTTTGGGACCCATTTCCTGTCTAGTGATGTCACTACTAGCTTACAGCCCAAGGTATGTTAAGCTCAGAGGGACTTTGAAATCTCCTTACTGCAAAACAAACACAAGCAACTGCACGATGGAAATGTATATACTCGGTTGTATATTGCATGGAAGTAGTTCTAATTTTGCTTAGTTTGTATAAGCATTATTCTACCCCAGCGATTATGATGGAGTTGCTGTTTTCCTCTAGCATTGTCAGCTGAAACCTTTAAACTCTCTTAAAACAGATTTGGGTTGTAGGTTTCAAATCACGCCTGATTGCTTCATTAAAGTTGTGTCTGGTTTTCCGGGAGGGCCTTTTAATTTATACAATTTGTAGCACTGGGCTTAGCAGTCAGAGCAGATGAGTTCAAATTCTGCCATCTTAACACATGGTATTTTAAGCAGCCCATATTCCCTTTTGGGGATCTCAGGTTCCTTATCTATAGAGTGATGAAATTGGGCTGGATCAAGCCTTCTTAATCTATTTTGTCTTGGACCCCTTTTGCAGTTTGGTGAGGCATATGGAGCCCTTCTCAGACTGATGGTTTTAAATGCATAAAATAAAACACAGGGTTTTATTTTTAAAAAAACCGATTTATACTGAAACAGATAAAAAGCATTTTCCCATCCAAGTTCTTTGAGCCCATGAAATCCACCTGTAGACCCAAGTCAAGAATACTGGAACCTAGTAGATTCAGCTTTAGATGTTGTGATCATGCTTTTTTGTATCCTTATAACAAGGCTGCTCTGCATTCTGAACTTAGCTAGTAGGTAGACTTTCAGCGAGTGGCTAGACTTAAAACTTTTGTACCATGTTGAAGGAATTTGAAAGAACGGCAGGTCTGTCCATGAAATCTCCCTAATCCATGTGGTCCATAGTCATTGTTGAACTTAGATCTGTCGGGGCATACCACATCAAATTGTTGGTTTGGGCTGTATATTTATTTAAATAACTTTAATAACTGCTCTTTTAAAAATATGAAAGCCTATAGTCACGAGTTCCATAGCCTTAAACTAATCTTAGTTTTGTGGCAGCCCAAGGTCAGGGGCAGACAGATGCCTGGCCAGTGAGTGACGGGATTTGGCCACATGGGTGGGGCGCTCGGTTGCTGTAGTCCTAGAGCAAAACATGGAGGAGTCTGGAGGCAAATGGGTACATATTTTGAACAAAGTAACTTCTGTTGAAGCCATTGGTTTTGGTTTTGGTTTTAGAATAAAATAACCTTAGCTTTGGCTGATGTTTTCTTCTTCTGTGCAGTGAGTTTTAAAAACACTTGCATGTATTTGCTGTCTTTTGGGAGGTCATTTTTGCTTTAATGACGTAACAAACTGAGGCAGCATAGTAATGCTGAGTCACAGGCTAGCCCTTCTCATTTCTCAAGTGCTGCATTTTTAAAAATCCTTTGTCCTTCACTTGACATCACAGAAGAAATCTGGTGGTTTGAATCCCCTAACAATTCAGCTGTTGAGGTGCTAAAATTATTATGGTGAATTCAAAAATCCATTCTTTTGTGTGATGAAAAAAGTCAGTGGACCAAAATCTCTCAGCTGGAAGGCTGTGGTGCCTGCCCAGGTAACCAAGCACCTTGCTTTCTGTTGGATTGGGTTGAGTTTGGTAAAGGATCGCCCATGCCCACCCCCAGATTGTCCTAGGTGTCCCCCATTAGAGCCCAGGAAGGGAAGGAGGACATTTGGTGCCATCTGCCAAGCAATCCCTGTGTTTGCTGGGGCTCTTAGAAAAGGATCATCCCATTCTGTGCATGTTTCCCTGGATTTTTCTGCCACAGACCCTGCCTCTCTATGGACGCAAAGACTTCTCTGCGTCTGCTGTTTGCAGTTTACTTAGGGACTCTGAAGCCCAGCATGGGTCAGTTACAGAGTAACCACGTTAAAACAAACTTTCTTTGTCCTTCCAAATAAATCAGGAGTGTGTTTTGGGGGCGGTGAGGAAGGGAGAGTTTTGAAGACGGTGGTCATTCGTCCCTGTAAAGAGCCACACTATTTGGCTTCTGCCTCAGAATTGATTATGCTCCATGAGTCTAGTATGACAGCCTGAATAGAGGGGGGGAAGGGACATTGTCTTCCGCTGGCCTGCTGTTAGCAGAGGGGAATGTGTTTCTGAATCCAAGATTGCACATTCATTGGTTGTCTGAAGCAAGCCGTTTCATCGGAGGATTGGACAAGAAGCTGCGTCAATTTGCTGCCGGTCTCCAAGGCACTGGTGATGCTGCCTGCTTCACAAGCTGGCTCACGTCACGGCTCCATCACCCAGCGGGGTGTGGACTCCTTTTTTTTTCTCCCGTTCTTCCTCTGTTTAATTCTGTGTTTGCTGCCTGCTGCATTTCTTCATCTGTCTTCTGCCAAATGCTAACAGCATGATATTTTGTAATCATCTAGGTGAATACAAGAAGGACGAACTCCTAGAAGCCGCTAGGTAAGTCATTTCATTCCATTGAAGTGAGTACAATGCATTTGAAAGGAAAAAGGGGGTGGGGGGACTGTATACATTTTATGTTATCACTGTCTTGCTTTGACCGTGTGAGATAATGTGGTTGACCAGTACGGCTCTGTAGACTTTGTCTTTGTTATAAATGGGTAAGGATGGTTAATGAAATTATCTTTCAGTATGGTGTTGGTTATAAGCATTATTAATTAGATTGGCTTATAAGGTGCCAGGAATCCTTATGCTTCTTAGATGCCTAGGTTTTTAGAACCAAATGGCATATTAAGAATATGTTTCTGTCAATTCCTGGGTTTTAAAGCTCTATTTTCAAGATTTTTTTTTTTTTAGATTTTTCCAAGGAAAGCCTGAGTAGCGAGTATATGGCAAATATTCACAGTCAGAAAAAAAAATCTTATTCTTCTCTTTTGTTCTTTGAGCTTTTAAAATTTAACTAGTAGCTTTTTTCTTTTCATAGCATTTTATTTATTTTTCCAGCTCTAATGCTATTGGTCACATGATAGCAATATGAAGTTCATTTTGATCATCCAGAAAATGGCTTTGTGCAGCTCTGTGACGGAGGTGCCTGGAGCCCAGGGCTCTAGGACATCCTAGAATAGGAGGAATGAGAGGGATTATTTGGAAAAATACTGATGACATTGGAAAATAACAATAATCTAGATCCATGTGGAAGAAATAATAGCAAATAGAGCTGATTTCTTTTCTAGTCTGAAGAATACTAGTACATGGCCATATAAAACTAATTTTTTTAATGGATTGATTGATTTCCTTTTCTAGGAGTGGTAATGAAGAGAAACTGATGGCTTTACTGACGCCTCTAAATGTGAATTGTCATGCGAGTGATGGGCGGAAGGTAAGTTGGTAAAAATAGAATATTTTGTTTATTGAAAAGGAAAATGACCTACAGTTGCATCTTTTTACCACAGCATTCAATGCTATAAATATTATTGGCAGTTAGGACAGATTTTTGGAGCTGCTAAAGTAGACTTTAAGGAAATCTTTCTTTTGAAATGTCAGGTATCAAGAGCTGTTTCTTACCTAGAACCTCAAGGTTTGTCAGTAATGAAATCCATCCTCATGCAGTGCTCTTTTCCACAGGTGCTGATGGAAATTAGAACATAAATGTTTACTCACTGTTGTTGTTTATCCATTGTTAGGTTCTATTCATCTTCCTACTGCTTTGCAGTGGAAGCAGGGCTTGTTTTAAGATGTTAATGCTTTGATTTTTCAAGTTGAGGGGATATTTGAGATTTTTTGAGACTCATATTTCCTCTGCTTTCACATATTCTTATTTTTTTTGACTAAGATTTCATGTTGATGTGTTGAATTTAAAAAAAAAAAAGCAAAACCAAACCACGCCACCTACATGAGTTTATTAAAGGTACTTGTTATTATTTTAAAGTAATACAGATAATACACAGTTGACTGCTGCCTGATCCACCACTTTCGTGTGCTTTTGTGATGTTTTATTTCACCATGGGTGTGGGGAACCACACCTGCAATTTTTGTAAGGATTTACGTGCCCTGGCCTGTCAGGATTTCAGAGATCGCTGACACTCATGTCTCAGGGGTTAAAAGAAAGAATTTGCATTGTTAACTTTTATGTATTTTCAAAGAAACACCTTCTGCCTCTTGAGGAAAATCATCCTGTGCCTTTCCTGACAAATTGCTTAATTTGTGAAAAAATCCCGATAGCACCTTCTCTCTCTCTCTGTCTCTCTCTCTCTCGCTCTCTCTCTCTCTCTCTCTCTCTCTCTCTCTCTCTCTCTCTCTCTCTCTCTCTCTCTCTCTGTCTCTCTCTCTGTCTCTCTGTCTCCCCCCCCCCTTCTTTTTGATGAGTACTTGCCCAGGGTCATACAGCTAGTAAGTGTCGGTTGTCTGAGGTCAGATTTGAGCTCAGGTCCTCCTGACTCCAAGGCCTGAGCTCTATCCACTGAGCCGCTTAGCTGCCCCTCACTTTCTCTTTTAGGCATTAGAATGAATAACATCCACTTATAAAGATAAGCTCTTATTTAAAGAAGGGAATCTTCTGGTTTTCAAAAATGCCTTTGATATTGGCATTCTGTAGATTAGACTTAGTCAGTCTTTCTTGATTACCTTTTAATTAATTCTTCTGAAAGTAGACCTGGGCAGAGTCTGAGCTTCGGGAAGCTTTCTGAGAGTATAGGAGTGACATCCTCAGGCACTGGCCTGCATTCGGGATCTTTACCTAGTGGTGGCTCCAGCCCAGACTAGGACAGAGGTGCTGCTCCCAGCAGAGCCGCTGAGTCAGGGAAGAGGTGGTCTCGGCACCTTCTCTGGGTGGTGAGTTTGAACTGAGGCAGAGCCTTTGGAACTCAAAGGGCGCTTGAGATCATCCCCTGCACCTCCCTAAGGCCCAGAGAAGTTTGACAGGCACCTCATGGGCTGTCAGATGCCAGAAGCAGTCAGATGAACACAGCTCTTCTGGTGCCAGGTCTGGCCCTTTTTCATCTCCATCCATGGAGGGGGGCTCCTTGTTGCTCTCCAGCGGTCCTTGGAGAGTCAGGTTGGCTTCCAGACCCTCTCAGAGCTTCATCAGTGGCAATCACAGCTGTGTTTAGGCCCTTGATCCGTTTCAGGACCTGGGTTTGAATGCTGCCTCCAGCCTAGATTAGGTTTGTGACTCTGGGCAAGTCCCTTCACTGCTCTGAGCCTCAGGATAACGATGCCTTAAGCACTTAGTTAACAGAGCTTTTGGGAGGCTTGAATGAGACTAGATAAAGTGCTTTACAGACCCTCAGGTGCCACGTGCATGGGCATGGTGGTGATTGAACATTTCCTGCATCTCAGCCTTGGAGAGCTTGCTCTGTGCTACTCTTTGGAGCCTGGGAGAAATGCACTGTATTCAGTAAGACATGGGCCTTCCCCACATGGAATGGCAGCCACTGAGCAGACCAGGGCCGCTGTCATATACAGTATAACATGGGAGGTGAAACGTGAGGAGGCTCTTCACAAGGTTTTATTTTCAAAGAAAGTCTTCTCCACCCCTAAAAATGAGATTGAGAAGTAGAAGCCCAGATGCCATAAGAAGTCTAAGTGGCAGGCGCCATCAGGCTCCCATTGGCCGCGAGGCTTCTCAGGATGGCTTGTAGGGCTTCTAGCTCTCCAGCCTATGCTTCCTGCCCCCCATGATGCCCTTACTGTCACACAACACGCACACACACCACCCTGCAGAAGAGAGCCTTTCCCGATCACCCCAGACAGAGATGTCTTCCCTCTTCTTTGCCTGACTACACCATGGATGGCACTGAGTTCATTCTGCTGTGGATCATCATTACTTGGGTAGCCTCCTTCCTCCCTCTAGTAGATTGGAAACTCCTCCTGGGCAGGACTGCATCTCACTTGTAGTTGTGTCCTGCACATCTCAAGCACTCAGATTTGTCAAATGAAGGACTTTCCTCCCTGAGAAATAGGAATCGTTAATACATAAGGAAAAAACCTTCCTTTTAACAAAATTTAAAATTTGAAGCATTTAGGAAGGTGTGTATAATTAAGAATGTTTTATCTTCAGTTATTTACATCGTGGTGAAAAATGGTATGGTTAGTCTGATTTTACAGCATGCCACAAATATTAATACATGGCTAAAGAGAACACAATATGTTTTATAATTCTGATATTAGCATGACGCTCTAGAAATGTACTATGTCCTGCTTATTCTTTCTCTAAAATTAAAATTGATGGGAAAGAAAAGAAATTAAATCCAAACAGTAAGTGAGCTTTATTCGCATTCACATGACATGGAGAATTATTCAGAAACATCCCTCTGTATGCAAAGGTCAAATAGCATTGTACAGCTTTAGTTGAACGACATTGACAGTTCGATGCTACTCTGGTTTCTATGTTACAGTGCAGTCTTCTGAGCTTCCCCTGTTACTCCATCCTGGATGCTAGTAGAGACATGGGCAATATCTGTCATTGTTTGGACAGCGTCCCCTCCATTTCATTGTCGTCTGTGTCATGAAACTGCCACAGAGATATGGACAGGCACTTTGAGTTGCTAAATTGAATGTCATCCTCCTGGGTCTGACTGCACAGCTTTTTCAGACTGTCCATTTAGATTGTATGAAATGAGGAATACAGATTGGGCATTGAAATGAAAAGATGCTTCTCCTAGCTTAGACTTGTGCATTTTCAGGATGTGGCATGGAACCCACTTAATTTTCTGTGTTGCTTTTGTAACAGTTGGGGTGAATGTTTTGCTGAGGCCATGCCCACGTTTCTGGCTCCTTCGCTTGACAACACTGTCACTCTCTAGGCTGCTCTCAGGCTCAGAGCTTGATAAATAACAAAGACCTGCATACGTTTTAATTTCTCGGTGGTGTAGACCCAAAGTGCACCTTCAGCAAGGAAATTGTATGGCATCGTGTGGGTTTTTTTGTTTTTCAAATCCCTTTTTATGTAATAAAGCAACAGGATAAGTTTTAAATAGTCTCTAATTCTGTCTCTTCAACTTGGTGATTATCTAATTAGATAATATGAACTATTCTATTCTTTGTCCCCCATAGACATTTGTTTGTCTCGCCTTTAATGTTCTAAAGATAATGACTAAGAACTATTAATTCTTTTAACTTTATGCCATTTATAATGTTTTTCTCAGTAATCATTCTTCGTGAAAAGCCCTATACATACAAAGCAGAGTCAGAACCCCGTTTATCTTCATGTTCCTCAGTATCTTCTTCTTTTAAGGCACTTTAGTCCAAGTGAAGATACTCTTTTTTTTGTGGGTATTCGGTATAAAAATGGATAGCTCTCTTGAAAAGTATGGATGCTGTGGGCTGAGCATTACCAAATCAAAGGCACAGGTGCCTTCCAGTGTCTTCTCCCTGCGGATTCCATGGTCTTCTAACCTGGGGGAGGCCTCCGTTCTGCTTTCCAGTCTTCCTAACAGTAGCTCTAGAAGCCTGCTCTTCTATTTTCTGAACTCTAAATTCATTTGCTACCTAATTTTAGGGCCTTAAGGTCTTCTGTTTTTCGGTTTTGATTTCCGTAAGGGTGGTAGACACAGCTTTTAAGCAAGTGAAAAGAAATAATTTGAGGACAACTGTTGTAGACCTCATGTATATCCCTCCCTCTCCTCTCTCCTGACCTACTCTCCTGAAGTGGGGGGCCCGATTGTCTCACTTGGTTTCATTATAACCAGTTTCTGGGTTAGCTAATAAACATTTATTTAAGTGCCTGCACTGTTCCACGCATTGTATTAAGTGCGGGGCTTAGGAAGAAAGACATGAGACAGTCCCTGCCCTCATGGAACTCACAATCTAATCAGAGAAGACAGCATAGAAAAAGAAGATGAAAAGCAGGGTGGAGGGAGGCAGGAAGAAGAGGAGGTTACCCAGCATGAAGTCCTGCAGCCATGTGGCAAACAGTCTGAGGAAGTGAAAGTTCCAGAATTTATTTCATCTTATAGATGTCGTTTCTGGAGATCATGAGGTCCAGGAAAGTAGCCAGGTGGGAAATGATCAAATAAATGCCTAGTGTGCCCCCCTCAAGGAGGGTCTGCAAGGAGCCCCCATCCAGAGGGAGCGAAGGAGTGCTGAGGAGGCGTGGGTCTCAGTGGTTTTTGTGTTATGGAATGATGAGTTTCTGGAGATCATGAAGTCCCAGAGAGCACATGGGTGGGAAATAGTGAGGTGAATACCTGGGGTTTGCAGTCATAGAGAGAAGAGGCGTGACAAGGTCTATTTCTGTGTCTTCTCCAATGTTCGTTGTTTGTATTTGTACCCCCACCATTTAGCATAGTGACGGGCACATACATAGCAAGACCTAAATAAATCCTTCCTGCCTTGCCTGCATGGCTGTCACTCTGTATCTCCAGAGCCTTGCATAGGGGA